AGTAAATGACAGATACAATTGGATATCCATATTTAAAAAAATTAATTTGGATTCACACCTCATACCTGATATTAAAAACTCAACTCAAGATAAATTCCATATGAATCTTAGGATGGATTTTTCTATCTCTATAAAAAACGTCACTAGGATTTTGATAGGGTTTTTCACTGAATTTATAGATCACTTTGGACAGTATTAACACCTTAACAATATTAAGTCTCCAAATTCATGAACATGGGATGTGTTTCCATTTATGTCATCTTTAATTTCTTCCAGTAGTATTTTATAATTTTCATTGCAGAAGTCTTTTACCTCCTTGGTTAATTCTTAACTATTTTATTCTTTTTTGATGCTATGATAAATGGATTGAGCCAACATCCCTGAGGGATGGGGGCCTAGACTGGAGTTCTGTGAGCTATTTCTAAGACATTGGTCTTTGCGATGATCTCCATGTGAAAGATTGATTCCATCATAGATAATCTCCCTGTTTCAAGGCCCATAATTAACAACATTGAAAAGGTAACATATTCACAGGGTCTAGGGATTAGGATGTGGACATCCTAGAGGAGGGCATTATTCTCTCTACCATACATGTTGCAAATATCTTCCACAACTCTATGGCTGACAGTTTACTCAATTAATGGTAAATTTTGATTGACAGAAGTCACTTTTGCCACATTTCCATTTTTAATTTAGTCCAATATGTCAAACTTTTCCTGTATGATTGGTGTTTTTTGTGTCCTGTTTTAAGAAATCTGTGCCTACTCCCAAGTCATGGAGATATTCTCCTAGGTTTTTCATCTAGAAATGTTATTGTTTTACCTTTCATATTTAGAACTACAATCTTCTCTGAATTGATTTTTGCTTAATATGTGACATTAGGGAGGCTAAGGTTCATTTATTTCTATATAGATATCCAATTGCCCCAACAACTACTAGGCATTTATTGAAAAGAATGTCTTTTCTCTACAGCTTCACAGTGCCTTCCTTGTAAATCTGGTATACATATGTGTGAATATGTTTCTGAACTCTCCCAGTGGTATTCAAAGAACTTACTGTGAAAATGGAAATGTCCTATATCTGCCCTTCCAAGATGGTAACCCTGTGGCTACTGAGCACCTGATATGTGGCTAGTGTGACTGAGGAACTAAATTGTTAATGTTATTTAATTTTAAATTTAAATAGCCATATGTGGCTAGTAGCTACCATATTGGCCAGAGCAGTATATTGCATCGTTGATCTATTTGTGCCATAGATCCCTATACCAATTCCATATTCTCTTAATTATTGTAGCTCTTAATTCTTAATAATTAATTAGAATTAATTAAGAATTAATAATTCTTAAGAATTAATAATTAATTAATAATTCTTAAGAATTAATAATTAATTCTCTTAATTATTCATAATTAGTCTTTATATTTAGTTCTTCTCCATCAAGATTGTATTAGCCATTCTAGGCTTTTTGTTTTTCATGTACATTTTAGAATTAGCTTGTCAATTTCCACAAAAATCCTGCTGTGATTTCAATAGGAAATGCATTGAGCCTATAGATCAAATTGGGGAGAATCGACATTGTTATACTATTGCGACTTCCAATTTATTAACATATTATATTCCTTTATTTATTTAGAGCTGTTTTATTTTTCTCAATAATGTTTTATAGTGTGTGTGTGTGTGTGTGTGTGTGTGTGTGTGTGTGTGTGTAAAGGTCTTGCTCATCTTTTGTTAAAATTATTCCTAGGAATTATATGTCTTTTGGTATAATATTATTGTAGATGGTATTGCTCTTAAATTAATTATTATTTTCTAGAGGCAGGCATATTCTTGGTATCTTTTCCCATGTTCTTATCTACATAAGGATAAAAGCGCTGGGAAGGCCTCAGTGGTTCTTGTAGGATTAGCCTTGTCTTTCCATAGCTCACACACCTAAAGTCTGCAGCTCTTGATATCCTTAAGGTCACGAAGGAAGGAGACCCCATCCCTGCAGAAGCAGGAACTACAGCCCACCCAGGATGACGACTGTTAGTGAAAACACGGAGGCCCAGGATGAGAATTTCCAGATGTCTAGTCCTTTGGATTCCAAATCCGTGATTACTGTTACCTCTACTACTAGCAAATTTATTGGGAAGGGACTGAAGTTAGATAGTGTGTCATCATACATTTGGACTGAAGAAGACAGTGAAATATTGAAGACCATGGGCCAAGATGAGCCAGAGGTTGAAGCCTGCAGTGACCGACCATCCTGGGCCAATAAAATTGAGTACCTCCTGGCCCAGGTGGCCTTCTCTATGGGACTGAGCACTGTTTGGCGCTTTCCTTATCTGTGCTTTCACAACGGAGGTGGTAAGCCTGGGACCCTGAATCTTGAACCCATGAGGGGGTGAGGAGCCAGAGGCTTGTCCTCCAGGGTCTCTGAGATATGTAGGGACTGAGGATTTGGGATTCTGAATGGGGCAGGATCCAAGTATGTGAACACCTAGGACCTTAGGAGGGTGGGAGCGGGATATCCAAACACTTGGGTTCATCAGAATGGTGGGGCCGGAGATCTGAATCAGAAATGGGAGCAGAAAGCATGTATCTGGGTTTTCCAGGAACTGGAGGCCAAGAGACTGGACACCTGGGACTCTGAGGGATGTGGAAACAGTTGATGCCCGAGGCCCTGAGGGAGGTCACTGGTGGGGAACGTGTTTTCCTGGACCCCCCAAAAAGTCCAGGCACTGAAAAGCCTCATGGTTCTCAGAGCCCCTCCTTGAATCCCCTGCACAGGGTGTTTTCTCATCATGTACACCGTCTTGCTCTTCTTGGTCGGGGTTCCTCTCCTCTTGCTGGAGATGGCAGTTGGTCAGAGGATGCGTCAGGGCAGCACTGTTGTATGGAAGATCATCAGCCCCTGGATCGGTGGGGTGGGATATACCAGCTTCATGGTGAGAAGCTCTGGGCTGCCCAGGCCCACCCTTCACATCCCCATGCCCTTCCAACCCTTGTCCTGGAATGGTCCCGTGAGTTCACGTCCATGGGTCAAGTTCCTTCAGTTCCCCAGTCCTCTGTCAAATCCCCTCCTTTCTGTTGTCCTGCCTTCCTTCCCCTGCCTCCAGAATTTTTCATGGTTTCTAGGTGTGCTTCATCGTGGGCTTGTACTATAGTGTGCTCATGGCTTGGAGTCTCTTCTATTTGGGTCAGTCTTTCCGGTTCCCACTGCCTTGGGCATTGTGCCCCTTACTGAGGAACTCCAGTAATTTTGGTGAGAAGAGAGGGAAGAAAAAGGCAAGTGGGAGGGCTGAGAAAAGCATGAGGGAATGAAGAAGGAAAGGATCATTGAGAGAATAAGGATGAGCAAGCAGATGATGACATGGGATTGGAAGGAGGCGGGGATGGGAAGAAGAGGGAGGTGCCTGGTGCAGTTTCCTCCATGGCTAGTTCACCTCAGATCCTGAATGTACGCGGACAACATCCACCGTATACTTCTGGTACCGGCACGTACTGAAGGCCACAGATGAAATTGAGATCGATGGACCACCAGTCCTGCATCTCAGTGTCTCTCTCTTTGTGACCTGGTCGATTATCTGCATCTCCATGGTCAAAGGGCTCAGGTTCACTGGGAAGGTGAGCTACCCCTAATTTACTAATCTAACTGAGACCCCCTAATATTCTCCTGCCTCAATGCCTGTAAGTCTCCAACTTCTCATTCCTTGTAATCTGACCTCTGATTCCTAGTAGTCTGTGATCCTACTATCCCACCTTCTGCTTTTGCTGAACTCTGTTTCTGAATCACACTTCCTACACAGATGTTGTCCATCTCAGTACTCCTTCCTTACGTCGTCCTTTTCTGTCTCCTTATCCGGAGTCTCACGCTGAAGGGCTCAGAGTTTGGTCTCAAGAGTCTGTTGGCTGCCAAGGTGACGTATCTCCCACCCTTTAATCCTCTTATCCAAACGGGGGTGTCAGGGACAGTATAGTTGTCAGTCTGATAGAGGCCCTTCTAGCTCCCTCTTTCACTCCCTTCTTCTTGTTTTCCATTTCCACCACAGTTTACCTCTCCTTCCTTTATATCCTAACCTGCATGGCACTTGTCCTCCTCAGATGCCGGCACTGTACTCTGTGGAAGTGTGGCGCCGGACAGGGAACCAGCTCTTTTTGTCCATGGGCTCTGGCTTTGGCAGCTTCACTGCAATCAGCTCATACATCCCTCGGTCCAACAACTGTGTCATGGATGCCTTTGTTGTGGCTCTTCTCAACTTGATGACCTCAGTGACTGCGACGGTGTTTGTATTTGCCATCATAGGCCACATGGCCACAAAGGAGAACGAAAAATGTTATTTGAAGTGAGCCCACTCTTTCATATGGAGATCGTCACAAAGACCACAGTCTTAGAAATAGCTCACAGAACCCCAGGCTAGGCCCCCATTCTTCAGGGATGTTGGCTCAGTAAATATGGGTCCCTCAGATTGGAGCATCCTAAACCTTAAAAACACCTGAGTCTCTCCAACTCTGTCTTTTTAAGAATTGCCTTTCTAAACTAGGAAAACGCCAAACCTAGAGGTTTTTCAAAGGTGTGTTTGCCCTGTTCCTAAGTGGGGACTGCCATGGACATACCTTCAGCTGCACCACTGGACAACCCACAGCACCAGTGCCCCCATAGCCTATTTATTTTTCTCCCATGGCATTTATTTAAAAATTACTTCTCAGACATTTAGTTATAAAACATCTCCTATTTACGAACTCCTGTGTTGAGTTCTGGAAGCATAGCTGGTGGTGAATCAGACCACCATCCCTGCCCTCAGGAAGGTCAGTCTTTTGAAGAAGCAGATGATCACAAACTAGATGATAGCTGATAGTAGGGAAGATGAGAAGACACAGAGGAGGGAGCTACTAACTTCCTGAGGGCAGTCAGAGAAGGCTTCTTAGTGGAGGCAATCCTGAGCTGAATTTGTCTCCTGACAAATAACCACTCTTAGTATTTTTTCAAATAGCTCCCATTCATAGACTGTATGTTAAAACATACAATTTTTTAAAAAATGGATCATACTATACTACTTTTCTGCAACTAGTTTATTCGACCTTATAAAAATAGACCTTGAATTGCTTTCCATGGCAGCACAGTTCAGTGAGCTGAGTAAGGAGTTGTAGGAGTTTTGTCACATGGACAATGGGTGTGGAGGTAGAGTGGGGAAGTTCTGGGCAGAGGGAACATCATGTACCAAAGACCCTGAGACAAGAGAGAGCATGGCACGTTACATATTTAATAGATGAGTGTGGTTCAGTGTAGGAGGTGAAGAGACGTGTGAGTTCAGAGGCTGGAGAAGCAGGTGGAAAGAGCTGAGGAGCTTTAATGATATTTTGAGATTGTCTAGTAGCAGCTAAGGATCCTAAAGCCATCAGTGATACTGTGGGAGGACCCCTGCAGAGATTCTCTGGCCTCACACAAACACCTTTGTGATTGTGGAAGTAGGTGTCAGGCAGTTCCCACTAGGATCCCGGAGACCTGGCTTTCAGCGCAGGCTTTACTTTAACCAGCTCAAAAACTAAGCGAGTGATTTCCCTTCTCATCTAGAATATGAGAGAGGAGAAGTTATCTTAAAGGCCCAGGTGGTTTTATATGATTCTACCCCTGTCCCCAGGAATATTGAGAAAGTGATGAATCTGATAAATACTGGCGTGCTGTCTCCTGAGTTTCGGTTCCCAGATAGTCTGTATCAGCATTTGAGCTCCATCTACCCTACATGGTTCAGCAAACTCCCTGAACAAGTCAGAAACAGAGCCCTACCCTATTTGTACAATTGTGACTTATCTGAGCAAGTGAAAGAGGTAGGTAAGGGTTGGGGATGGGGCCCTAGGGTTCCCCTCAAAGCTCCCGGTACCCTAGAAACTTCAGCACTCCTTAGGTGTCTGTAGAACCCGGAAAGGCAATTCTCAGCTGCCTCTTGGACAACCAAAGCAAGGTTTACAGTCTCCTTTTGTGATAAGACAATTGGAGCCTCTGTAGCAACAAGAGCTAGAGTTCACATAAGCCTGTTTGCCCCAACCCGAAAGAGTTGCTAGACCAACAGCTGTTGTAGGAGGAAGCCCTCATGCCTCAAGGCCAGAGGAGTATAGTAATGTCCACTAACAGTGCTAGAGGTAGTTTCCTAGGGGAGGGAACAGGGATGGAGTCAGGACTCCACAGAGTGACGTCTGAACCCTCACCATTCCTCCCTTTACCTACAGGTTATGGAGGGCCCAGGTGTGGCCATTGTGGCATTTACTGACATCATTTCTCTGTTTTCTGGATCTACCTTCTGGGCCATCATCATCTTCCTATTTCTGGTGTCCATGGGGCTGAGCACCATGATAGGGATCCTGCAGGGCATCATTACGCCACTCCAGGACACTTTCTCTTCCCTCCAGAAACATACAAAGCTGTTCACAGGTACTCCAACCTTTGACCCCATCTAAGCTGTGGCCATCGTGTGGCTTAACCCCACTGGGACTCATACCGCCCAGCTTGCATTCTGACCTTGATCCACATCTGCTGTTTCCCTCTAGTGAGTGTCTGCGTGCTTATGTTCCTGAGCAGCCTCGTTTTTGTGAAGCCCTCGGGCAGCTACTACATGAACCTGCTGGATGACTACTGGGTGTCTCTGCCCCTCTTCTTCATTCTCATCTTGGAGAACATGGCCATGGCCTGGATCTATGGGGCCAGGAGGTGATGTCCCAAACCCAAGATCTCCTGCTGTGCACCCACACAGCTAGGGTCCCTAGGGCGCGCTGGCCCCTCCTGCACTCACCAGCCAATCTCTGAGCCTAGGGCTGTGGAGAGTTCCCAGGAGGATGGGAAAGAGACAGTCATAGGTTGCTTCCCTGAGAAAATAGATGTAAAATGGAAGAGTGGTGAACAGTCTATATCAAGTCTTAGGGCTCCTGAGCCCTATTGTAACCAGGGTAGTGTAGACATCTGAAACAGGTCATCCTTTGCTTCTCAAAGTATGTTTTGTGGACCAGCAGCATTGGCATCACCTGGAAGCTTATTAGAAATGCAGACCCTCAGGCTCCACCCCAGACCTTCAAATCTGTATCTGCATTTTAACAAGAACCCCAAATGATTCATGTGCACACTAACATTTAAAAAACACCATGTAACCCAACGGTGACAGCGTTTCCAGTGACAGTGGTTCTTGGCGTCAGTTGGCTTACTCATATATACTCACTCTTTTTTTTTTTTTTTAGCTGAGCCATCCTGCCACCTGTTGGCATCTCAGCGGCAGCTCAACTCAGGCAGGGAATCGATCGGCTGTTGCTCAGAGCTCACATTTTTGAGCAAGCTCTGAACCAACTGAGCCACTCAGCCCTATATACTCACTCTTAAATATTTCTTAGGGCCTCCCAGGTGCTAAGTAGGCTATGTGGTGAATACTGGGGATTCTGAGGTAAATTATATTTAGTTTCTGTTCTCAGAGTTCAAAGAGGAAAAGATATATAAGCAGCCCTTGGGCAGAGTGGTAAGTCTATGATAGAGGACAAGGGCACTGTAGGAACACAGATGGTGAAGCGTCAAGCAAGGAGGAGATGCAGAAACAGGATCTAGACAGGTGAAGGGGAGTTTATCAAGGGAGGGAGAGAAGGGTACTCCAGGCAGAAGGAGCCTGACTTACATATGTCTTGGGATTAAGAAGGTGCACAAAAAGAAGCTGGCTATATGGGCTGGAAAAAACTACACTTAGGAACTTGGCTTTTATCCTGAGGGTGAAGGGGGATAGAAATGCTTTTTTAAATCATAGGGCTGGGACAGAGATTAGCCTGAAAAGGGATGGATTAGAGGCAAGAAGACTGGTTGTGGAGGTGATCAGAAAGGCTTAAGAAATGTTAAAGGCTCTCTCCTAGGTGAGGTTTGGACTGAACCCTCCCCCAAGGCCTGTACAGCCTTCCCAAAGTCTTATGGCCCTTTCTCCCAGGTTCCTTGCAGACCTGATTATCACATTGGGCCGCCCCATCTCCCCCATCTATCGTTGGCTGTGGTGCTTCGTATCTCCATTTGTGCTGCTAGTCCTGTTTGTGAGCACCGTGATTCGTCTGTATGTGAAGGGCATCACCTACTTTGCCTGGAACTCAAGCACTGTGAGCCTCCCTCTGCAGATCCCAGAACCCCCTAGGGAGTGGGGACAAAACTTTTCAATCCATGCTTGCCTCTAGGACTCAGCCATCTTATTCCCTGATTCCCTGGGGATTCAGTTATCTAGTTTCTTGCCTTGGTTCATCACCTACCCCCACCTTCTGAATTCCATTTCGAAGTACCTGGCCGTTCTAAACCTTCCTCCCCTTTCTCCACAGTCAAAGGAAGTGATCCGAAACTATCCATCATGGGCTAAAGTCTTGCTCATACTCATCATTGTCATTACCATCTTGCCCACCCCTGCCTACTTCTTGTACACCCTCTTTAACACGGCTGCCTCAGTCTCCAAGATCCACAATAAGACCACAGATATCTTTAAACCTGAAGCTAAAAGGGACTCATCAAATCCCCATCCATGGCTTCATGTGAGGCAACACCTAAAGGAGGTTGGTAAATTGAATAACTAACCAAGGGAAAAACGTTCTGCCATGTGAGTAATTCTTTTTGGAAATAAAGACTTGGTTCATTTGGCGTAACACCTCTTCTTTTTCATAGTGGAACTCCGTGCCTGGCAACTTGACATTAGAAGACATAAACGTAGCAACTGCTAATGTAACTAGACCCAAAGATATTTAGTTTTTCTGGATTGGGAAAGTTTTTCTGGCCTGATGGGTCATCCCCCACATCTTCCACACTTTCCCTCCCCAGACCTGTAATGATGGTGTTCTTTGACTTCCAGTACTCGACTGATGGCGACTGTTGATCCTACTTCTCCTAGGCTACCTTTTTCTTGGAGTTGGTCTATGTAAGGTGTTGTCCCTATGAAACTAGGGCAGAAATGGTTTTGGCAAATAAATCAGTGAAAATTTACTTTTATCATAAAAAAGTTTCCAACTCCCAGTCTTGCCTTCCATTGACTCTGTTAAATTCAAATGCTAGAATCTCAGGTCCTCCCTGCCTAGTGCTTCCTGTAAGTAAACTGGACCAGGTAGACACAATTTGCCCCAAAAAACCAGTGGGTTCACTGATTTGGCAAAGTGGTTAACTATCTGCTAAGTGTGACCTCCTCATATATCTCTTAAATACTTGGAATACTTGATTATTTTACCAAATCTACCAAGGGGCTTAAAACTTGACATAACATCAGGTATTTTCACTGAGGTCGTGTAGGAGCCTGGAGGAAGGAAGGGTATTTGGCAAGAAATGATGGGAAGAAAAGAGGCTGACTGTGGAGATTGGAGAAGACTCAAAGGGGACTTCATCTAGGGCAGTGTGACAATAAAATAAGACAAACAAAACACCCCATATTATAATATACCTAAAATATAAAATAAAATTTAGTTTAACAATCCTCTTTAAATACACAGATGAGCTTAGACGAAATTAAGGGAAATCTTTAAGAGGCCAAAAATTAAGCCTAAGTTTGAATTCAGATAGGTAAGTGAGTGTTAAGGCTAGTGACTGCTGTGAGGCAAGTGCCACTCTTTGGTAACTTGAGAGATTTTGGTTTTAAAGGTATGTGAAGACAAAGCCTTGGGTCCATGAAAGAAAAGGAGGTTTCTTTTTCAAACCCATACATAGAAGGTTTGAAGGGCTATGATTTCTATCAAGAGTTAGATAGGTCCTATCTCTGATAGGAGGGAAGAAATGTCTTTTTTGAGAATTTGTAATGCCAAATCTTCTCTCACGTGGGATTTTGGTTCAAATTCATACAGCCTGTGTAGTCTGAAAAACCCAAATTGAGATTAATATAAAAGATTCTTGGTCAATAGCACATTGCCCCAGGAACCTGTCATAAGTAAATATAAATAATCTCAGGGGGGAAACAAAACTTCTACCTACCAGGCCTCATAGAATTCCCCCAAATAAACTTTCAATGAGCACAAGTGTCACGTCCCGAATGACATGAGCAGTGGGAAAACGAGACGGGGCGGCGAAGGGTTAAGAAATAAAAGAAACAGTAGTCAAGAGTTAAATGAGTGTGGGACCAAGGGTCTCCAGCCTCGTGGACTAAGAGCCCCGAATCAGGCTGACACGCTGCTTTTATTTCTCCACATACCAGGAAGTAGCATTGTTCTCTCCACAGTTTGTGAGTCTAGTTCCTGAGAACTTGCTCAAGCCAGATTACCCATGCCTGCAAGCTGCTATTACGGAGAGTCTGCCCACAGTGATAAGACAGATGCTCTGCCTTCACACACCCAAATGCAAATGACCCCAGGAAGCTAAGATTATTGTGCTGAGGACAGATACTATCACACCATCAGGTCACTTCCCAAGCAGGTTGAGGGAAGGAATGTAGCCACAGAGGTTGAAAACCTCCAGTCTTTTTGGGGGGCTAGTGAGGGCTCATGCCCACCTCCATCAGCCCCGAGATTTCTCCTAATGGCCTCCACCGGACCGTGCCTGTCTTAGGTTGTTCCTCCCACGAGGAATCTTACCCGTCATTGACTAACTGGCCATCCTTTGGAGCCAAACAGGGAGAAGCTAGGTGTATGAGCACTGTCCTCAAAAGGGTCAGTTTAGGGTTAAGCGCATGGGGACAGACGGCTGGACAGCTGTGTGGCAACACACAAGGTCACAAAAAGATATCACAAAACACACAAGGAAACAAGGCACCCTAAGGGAGGATTAGCATAATCAACAAGTGGCAGAATCGGACCTGTAACGACCTAATATACTGGAATTATATATAATGTAAGATAAGAAATAAATATGTTTAATATAAAGACAAAGAAAGAAAGTTGAAATTAAGAACAAGGAAGCAGAGAGTCTCAGAAATAATCAGAGAAAAAGAACCAAAAAAAAAAAAAACTTTTAGAAACGAAAAAATCACTAAGATTAAAAATATCAAGGGATGGGTTAAACAACGAATTAGAAAACTAGAAAAAGAGACAAATCTAAAGAAATTACCAATAATGTAGCCCAGAGAAACTACAGTATTGAAAATATGGGATTAAGAGACATGGAAG